TTAGCATGCTGTTTAATTTAGGGTTTGTTTCAGCTACGAGTAGTAGAAAACTTCAACAGTAATTTACATAAGATAAAAGTTCATTTCTTGTTGATGTACAAGCCTAGAGGTAGGTATGGTGCCCCCACAGTATCAGGAACCCAGGCACTTCTACCTGTGGTTCCCCCAAGTGTGCTCTCCCTTCCCAAGGCCCCTTTTTGGTGCAATATGACTTCTGTAGCTGCAGCAATTGCATCCAAGTCCTGGCCAGATGGCAGGAAGAAAGGCAGAGAACAGTACTCCCCTCCATTTAAGGACATTTCCCAGAAGTTACACACCCCTTCTGTTACCCATTCCTAGCTCCGAGGGAGGCTGTGTTGTTGTTTTTATGGTTACTGTTTTTCTAATAAGGAAGTATACTAGTTTCCCAGGGCTGCCCTAACAAAGAACCACAAAATGGGTGGCTTTAAACAGCAGAAAATTATTGTCTCACAGCTCTGGAGTCCAGCAGTCCAAATTCAGGGTTTTTATTTGCATGGTTTTTATTTTTATTGGCTAAATATGGTACCCCTACTCTCCCACTCCCTCCCCCTCCCACTCCCCACCTTCCTTCATGCCTTCTCTGATGGTCTTCCTCAGCCCCTTCCTTTTGTCAGCTTGCTCCAGTGTGCTGACCTTGACTACTTTCTCTTCTCAAACACCCTACTCTCCTAAGCCGTCTTTCCCACCCCTCAGCTCCACCTCCATTCGGGGCTGGCCATTGTCACAGTCCTCCAGGGACTTTCTCTCTCCTCCTACTGCAGGGGCCACTTCTCCCCTGTGGTGACAGCATATCGCAATGCTATTGTGTCTGTACTTGGAGAAACTGTACCTGCCCGGCTTGACAAGTGAGGCTGCCTCTTTGCTGTCTTCCTCCTCCTTTGTGACATCCTGGCCAGCTGTGGCAAGAAGTGCTTCCCTCGGGAGCTGGCTGATGCCTGGCTTCATCTCTTATGCCCAGTCAAGCTGAACTTCCCCTACATGTCCTCTGAACCTCCACTCATACTGTTCCCTGTGCCTGGAACATCCTTCCCAAAATTCTCCTTGTTGAAATCCTCTTTTTTCTTCAAGTCTGGCTCAAGGGCCACCTCCTCCCTAAGGTTTCCCTGAGTGTCCCCAGCTATCCCTCCCCTGAGCACCCAGAGTGGGTAATCTGCAGGCTGGTCTTATCCAGGTCACAGCGTTAGGAGTTAACTGAGTGCAGGGACTGTATCTGATGACTACCGTGTTTCTTGGGCAGCGCCTGGTGCATAGTAAGTGCTCAGTCAGTGTTTACTGAATGAAGGAGTGAATGACTGAATAAATGAATGAGTGGCTGATGAACAAGTAAATGCATGGGTAAGTGAAGAAGTAAGAAGCAGTGAGTGGATGGAGTTGCGGTGCGTAGATTGAGGGTGGATGAGCAAGTGAGCCCTGAGAAGGCCTCGAGGCTTGACAGACTGGCCACCCTTCGGGGGGGGCTGCCTTCCCTGCCACTGCTCTGTTCACACAGTCATGTGACCCCAGCCTGCAGGTCCTCCTCTGCTGAACCAGTGAGGGTTGTGAGCACAAGTGCAGGGACAGAGCCCTGGGCCTGGGGTCCTGAGACTTGGGTTCAAGTCTCTGCCTCAGACTTGCTGGGTGACCTTTGTTGTAGGGCAAAAGCATCACAAAGTTTAGTAAAGCAAAAAGCAAGTTTTATTCAGCATATATTCAAAAGGACAAAAGTGGGAAAATGGACAAGCATGTTGCCACAGCCATGTCTGCCCAAGTTTAAAGATTATTACAGAGTAGGCAAGAATGGAAAAACGGACAAGCATGCTGCCACAGCCATGTCCGAGTCCAAAGAACAGCTACAGAGCCATCAGTATATATTAACATTACAAATGGGCAAAACCATTGAAAGCTTAGCATTTTCAGATTGGCTAGAAACTGTGATCCTACATTTTGAATTGTCTTTCTTAACAATCATTGGTACAGGTTTCAGTAAGGACAGTCAGGAGGGTCTTCACTGGTCCAACAAATTTCTATTCACTAAATGCCAATAGAAAAATAGTAGAAAATCTTTTGTATTGTGTTTGATTGGCTTTATGCGAAAGTTTCCCTAAAAGGTATTTTCCAAGATTATCTTAGCTATTGTCTTTATACCTCAGGGCCCAGTTGATGTGTCCTTGTGAGTCCTTGTGGGCCCAGCTCCAGGTGGGTCACATTCTCTATGCTCAAGGACAGGGAATAATAACTCCAATATTATTTCCTAAATCAGCTTGGGAGACTCCCAACCCTGCTCTGGCCCCTGTGTCTTCACCAGTAAGGAGGAGACCCAAGAGAACCACCACTCTGCCCTTAGAACCAGCTAAAAGGTGCCTCTACCTGGAGCAGAGGGAGGCTGAGGCCCACTCCCCTCCCAGGTCCTGCCCAGCCCTCTGTCCCCATCTGGAGTTTCTGTGCCATGTATTTCTTTGTTTCTGCACATGCTCACCACCTCTGACAGGTCTGGGCCTCTGAGAACAGAGCACCACTGAGTTCCTGTGGAGATGCACCACCCAGGTCCCCCTTCAAGGAAGGACTTGCTTACAGCTGCGGGAAGTGTGGTCAGCAGACAGCCGCCATCTGTGAGCTCCTTCAGGGCCCGCCTCTGTGGCAGAGAGCGGATGGCCTGAGGGGCGGGGGAGGGAGTGGCCAGAGCGCAGAGTCAGAGCAAAGGTAAAGGGACATTGAGGCCCAGCCATTGCAACACCACGTGGGCCACGCTGATGAGCTGCACTCCTCCAGATCTCACTCCCAAGCAGCTGGGGCTTTATTTGGTCGGCCTCACAGTTTGACTTCTTCCTCTGCCCAATCCTGCTTCCTCCTCCTTCTCTCACAGGTGTTAACCCCCAATAAACATCTTGCACCCTGAACTCCACTTTTGGAGAACGCAACCTTAAACAGTTCGCTTCACTCAGTCTTCCTGGGCCTCCCTGCAGCCAGACCCCTTCCACATGTATCTATGAAAGCCCTGCTTAGGGGCTCTGGGGTCCAGAGTGATCCAGACATGGTTCCAGAAGCTCCTGTCCTCGAGATGTGCCCCTCTTCTCCCCATCCTCACCCCACTCCATCTCTCTCCATCAGACTGACTCTCTCCCTGCTCCTCACCCTCTGCACCTCTCCAGCCCTAAACCTCACTACCTCACTCTCTGAATGTCCTCCCTGTGGCAAGGGCAGCCTGTCTGGGCACCTGTAGAGGCCAGAGCACCAGCCAGGGTCAGGCTAGCCCCCGCAACAGGCAGGTACCAGGATAGCTGGACGGAGACACATGGGTACAGCATTTATTTCATGGGCACAGAGAGAAACAGATTTTCTATTAATAACAACAGAACAATTCTTTATTTGAAGTGAAAACATGAGCTTTGTCACATACTCTGAATGTCACATCACATTTTAACTTATTTGAAATTGTCCATCAGTTCATGAGTTTTCTATCATTCTTAAGTGATGTAAGTCACTCACATTCTCGAAGAATAGAAGTGACCTGTTAAGATTTAGTAACAAAGTCTCATTTGAAATACGTTTAAAAGTCTTCTTTCCGTCTTTCCTGTTAATAAAATGCCTCCTGCTTTCTGTGACTCTTAATTTCTCCTGTTTCTTTTTGTGGTTTTCCAAACCAAACAGCTTCTTGGGAGACCCATAAAAGGGTATATACTTCCATTTATAAAATAAATCGTTTGTTCCCAGGAAACAGCTCTACACGAATGCTCTTTGGTTTCGTAATTCCAGGGCTGATTTCAGGGGACTTGGCAGCTAGCAGCCCTCAGGGTTGGGCTCTGTGCAATTTTCATGTGCAAAAGCAAAAAATCCTCAATTAAGGAGCAAATAAGAACTGGTTTCTAAAAGTGTCCACTTGAGGGCGCTGCTTTCTCTGATGGGAATAGAACGAGTTGTGTAGCCTCCCGTGGTAACCTGGAGGTTACCCTGTTTACAATTAATTCCAGTGAAATTTTAGTGCCGCATATAGATCAGCAGAGCTGGCCCACCACAAAATCTAACACTATGTCTGCTTACTTACTCTTTGAAAACATCCTAAGCCCCATCCTGAGGGCAGGTCCAGAGCTGACTCCAGTGGCATCACTAAGTTGGTGTCACCCAGAGCGGTAACTCACGGTGTCACCTCTCCCATGGACCTCCTCCCATACTAGACAGTACAGAATCCTTAGTGATGTTTATTATCAATTTTAATCATAGAATAACACATGATAAATATAGCTGTAAATTGCTTAAATGTAATATTTCTTAGATTATATGAGTACTAACAACAAATTGTTTTGTAAAATCTTTCTACATTGAATTACAACATTATCAGTAACTGAGCAGAAGCCTTTTTTATTTTTCTCCTTCTTTTCCTTTGATTACTACTTAATTCTCAGAAAGGTTGTTGATGTAGTTTCACAAATACTGATTATCACAATATTGTAGCTAAAACACCAGAAAATTTGACAAAATCAGCGACTACAGAAACACCAACAGCGAGGAAAACAACAGCACCTGCTTTTAGTGCGTGCAGACGAAATCAAATGGTTCAAAGCGTCATTTTAATTGGGAAATAACGACAGCTCCGAGCAGAGCGCGTTAGAAGGTTCAAAAAGTTAGCATAGAGTTTTAGCCTTGTAGGTATATTGATACATGGATGCTGGACTTATTTTATTTTTATGAAAAATAATAAATTTTTGCTGAAACATTGCACAAAAATTTTGTAGGCAGTCATTTGGGTGTCACCCCCCTCTGACAGTGTCACCTCGTGTGGCCTGCACCCCCATACCCCCCTAGTGACGCCACTGGCTGACTCCCACCTGGTCCCACCTCTTGGGCTGGAGGGCCAGAAAGCTGGGATGCAACAAGGAGTTCCCAGCATACAGGAGGGGAAGGAGAGGGATGCAGGACTTGAGGAGTGGGACACCAGGGAAGGCTTCCTGAGGGATGGGAGAGTCTGGCCCCCAGCAGGGTGAATCCTGGGGGCTGGTTAGGCCTCACATGAAGGTCCAGAAGTCCCGGGCTCCAGCTGCCAGCTGGGTATGGTGGCCTGGCCCTGTGAAGAGGGATGCCTCTTGGTGAAATGTGGCTACCGTGAAGCTGGGGCCAGGGCCTCCCTGAGGATCCTGGGTTTCTGGGTCACAGCTGAAGCAGCAGAGGATGCAGGTGATGGCCACGGTGACCACAAACAGCACTGCCACCACCCCAATCACTGCAGTTTCCATGGCTCCACGAGGCAGCTCACCCCTTGAGCAACCTCAGATGCGTCTCAGAGGCTTAGCTCCCCATCCAAGTGATGGGCGCTGTGGGTGATCCAAGGGCCCTGTGTTCCACGGCTGCTTTTCCAGTGGTCCTCAGAGAAGATGCTGGTCTGAGGCCCTGGTTCAAGCCTGCTCTAGGCTGCTGGGTGCCCCTGCATGGCCCCACTTGGATCTGGGCTGCTCTGAGTCTGCTTTCTAAGCCTCAGGCCAGGCTTCCAAGAGCTGTGGTCAACTCCGCTGGCAGCTTCTGGAAGAAGCACTGTTCAGAAAGATGTGAGCACAAGACTCTCTGGACGCGGAGGAGGTGGGAGGGGGAGGCAGAAGACTGCTCAGAGGGAGCCTTGCCAACCCCAGCCCTCTGGTGACGCCTACGAATTTCAAGATAGATTGTACACTTAGGCGAAAGACAAAATACTCCTCCTCCTGTGGATTCAGAATGAGCCTGGGTTCCTCCTCTCGAGGGACCTTGGGCCAGTCCATGTATCAGCCTTTTGCACTACCTCCCAAGCCCCCAACCTTAGATGTGATGTGGAGGAAGGCAAGTGCCACTCTGGGCAAGGTGCGGGGGTGGAGGGGCATAGCTAGGTCCCCACAAGTGCCATGGGGGCTCCCACAGGGGCTGTGGGAGGAGGAGGCACATTTCATTTGGCCTCCCTTGGGAATGGAGGAGGGAGAGTGGGTTCAGATAGGGCAGGGCATGCTCTGGGGCGCAGGGTATCTGAGCCCCTCCAAGGATACACTACAGGTTCCTTTGCCCTGAGGTCCCAGAAGAAGCCCTCTTCTGTGCCAGCCGCCCACCAGCCCTCCTCATGCCCACTGCTCACGCTCAGGTGCTGTTAAGACTTACCCTGGCCACTCCGATGGCCACCCCAGGGACCAGACCATGGCACTCTCATCCCTGAATGCTGCAGCCTCGGCCCTTGCTTGGACTTGGCTCTGAGATGTCTAAGCAGCTGTGAGCACTTCCTGAATCCCTTCCTCCAATTGTGAATGAGGGTCCAAGACCTGCACAGCTGCCTTCCTCCTTGGTGACTGCATTCACCCCACCCCCACGCACACCCCTTTTCATCCTGGCCCCACCCCCTGCCAGATTCTCTACTTAGTGGAATTTGAGGGATGAGCCAGGCCCAGGCCACTGAGTCAATCTCCAGAGGGGCTCTGTCCTGGTCCTCACTGTCCTTTCACACCTACCACCTCGTCAGACCTCCACCACGTCCAGAAGGGAGAATTCTAGCCCTACTTTATAGGTACCCTGAGAAGTGGAATAGTGAAAAACAATAATTTCAGGTACTGAACACAGCCAAGCACTATCTCATGTAATCTTCCCAGCAGCCCTGTGCAGTAATATTGTTCCCATTTTACAGATAAAGAAGCTGATAGTCATAGAGGTTACATGACTTGCTTGTGGTCCATTGCTGGTAGAAATAATACCAGTGCACTAGATGGTCAAGAAGGGGCTTCCCTCTCTCCACTCCTAGCTCAGTGCTTTTTCTGGATACCAGCAGACCTCAGAGATATCGCCTCATCCTGCAGTTTTACTGATCTAGTGCAAAGGCCCAGAGGTCAGAGGACTGGCCCAAGATCCTTTTCAATTTCTCCAGGTTCCCAGGGAACTTTCGTTAGCACCAGTATTAGAACACCGCCTACTCACAGAATGGGAGGGTGAATGTTGGGAGCAAATGATGTGATGCCCCGTCAGTTCTCGCTCTTTCCTTTTTCTAAGATGATTGGACTATCTGGACCCTGGGATCCTCCTCCATGTGGGCAGAGGACCACGGAGCACACAGAGGGCGATGACAGGAAGCTAGACACCTTGGATTATTTTTCTGACCAGCCTTTGTATTAACTGAGGCAACCAGAAGCAGAGAAGAAACATGATGAACCGATCTGCGGTGCTTGTGGCTTCAGATTGAATTACCAAGATCCGCTACAGTAAGTCCCTGAGTTACGAACGTCTGATTGACAGACGACTGGTACTTGCCCTTTAATGTTGCACAAATTTGCCTCACTTTGAAATGACTGAACCAACCCCTACTCGCAATAAAATTCTTCATCACAATCACCTTCACTTGCTGCACGTGCAGGTTTTAAATCATTGAAAAGGCTTCGAAACTCTTCTTGCACTAAAGGTTAAATAAGAACCGTGTCTGAGTCATCTAGTGCTGCTATAACAGAAATACCACAAGTGGCTGGCTTTAACAAAGAGAAATTTATTCTCTCACGGTCTAGGAGGCTAGAAGTCCGAATTCAGGGTGCCAGCTCCAGGGGAAGGCTTTCTGTCTTTGTCAGCTCTGGCAGAAGGTCCTTGTCATCAATCTTCCCCAGGTCTAGCAACTTCTCAGCACAGGGACCCCAGGACCAAAGGACACGCACTCCTGGCTCTTCTTTCTTGGTGGTAATGAGGTCCCCTTTCTCTCTGCCTGATTTCTCTCTTTTATATTTCAAAAGAGATTGACTTAAAATACAATCCAATCTTGTAGATTGAGTCCTGCCTCATTAACATAACTGCCTCTAATCCTGCCTCATTAACATCATAGAGGTAGAATTTACAACACACAAGAAAATCACAGCAGATGACAAAATGGTAGATAATTACACAATACTGGGAATCATGGCCTAGCTAAGTTGACACACATTTTGGGGGAATACCATTCAATCCATAACAAAACATATGCACCTGTTCCAACTTACCTACAAATTAGACGCTCAGGAATGGATCTTGTTCATAACCCGAGGGACAGCCTGTAGTTAATTCAGGAGACAAAGGGCACCTGGGGGACTGTGATTCAATGTTGGTCATTTGTTCCTTTGACTTTTTGTTAGCCTATAATTTGAGACGATGTGTAGTTGTAGGCTACTTGTGGTAGATGTGAGTGGTTCAGCATCTTTAAACTGGAATAAAAGATAATTGCACCATCTGCTTATCTTTTGCCTTTTATAGGTTTCCTTTTCTGTTTCTGATATTTGGGGGAAATCCTTTAGCCTTCTTTGATTCACCTGTAAAACAGGTGTGGGCTAAAGAGTTTAAAGTTATCAAGGATTTCGTTTTACTTACATCCACTATCAACGCCCATGGAAACAGCAGTCAAGAAATCAAATGACATATTGCACTGGGCAAATCTGCTGCAAAAGAACTCTTTAAAGTGTTAAAAAGCAAATATGTCATTCTGAGGGCTAAAGTGCGCCTAACCCAAGTCATGGTGTTTTCAATCACCTCATATGCACGTGAAAGCTGGACAATGAATAAGGAAGACCGAAGAAGAACTGGTGCATTTGAATTATGGTGTTGGAAAAGAATATTGACTACACCATGGACTGCCAGAAGAATGAACAAATCTGTCTTGCAAGAAGTACAGCCAGAATGCTCCCTGGAATAGAGGATCGTGAGGCTTTGTCTCATGTACTTTGGACATCTTATCAGGAGGGACCAGTCCCTGGAGAAGGACATCATGCTTGGTAAAGGAGAGGGTCAGCGAAAAAGAGGAAGAGCCTCAGCAAGATTGATTGACACAGTGGCTGCAACAATAGACTCAAACCTAGCAACGATTGTGAGGATGGCGCAGGACCAGGCAATGTTTCATTCTGTTGTGCACGGGGTCCCTATGAGTCGTAACTGACTGGACAGCACCTAACTACACAGAGTTCAACGTTACCTAAAGACTTTGGTCTTTTTCCTTGGTTTCTGAGAGATAACCTGTAAAATCCTGGAATTCCCCCAGCGATTCAAGTGTCTTACATGAGGACTTCAGACCACACTTGAAAGTTTGTGACTCATGTTGGGTGGGGACTGACAATGCCAGAAAGACCCACCATCATTGTCATCAACCATTATATCAACCTCTTGATGACAACTTTGTGATATCAACCTCATAATATCAATCGACCTCAGGGGAGAGGTGCTCCTGGAGTTTGAGTTACATAAAGAGACCTCCAATAAAAGCTTGGACATTGAACCTCCATTAGCTTCCTGGTTGGTAAAAGACATTTGTTATTGGGAGAATGATACACCGTTTTTGGTACGTGGAAGCTTCACATAGGGGATCCCCCCCCCCCAGACCTTGCCCTATGTACCTCTTCTTCATGCTGGCCTTGATTTGTATCCTTTATTTAAAAACAAAACAAAACTATAATCATAAGTATAGTTCTGTGAGTCATTCTAGAGAATTATCAAATCCAAGAGAGTAGTGGGAGCCAGCAGGCCAGAAGTGAGGATGTCATGGGGACCCCCAAGCTTGTGGCTGGAGTCTGAAGCTTGGGCAGACTTGGCAGTGTGGAGAAGTGTGCTTCCTTTAACTTGTGAGATCTGACCTAGCTCCAGTGGTTAGGGTCGGAGGAAGAACTACTGCACGTACAGCTGAATTCAATAGAATTGCACTGGATAGGATTGATTACAAATAGATTTGATATCCTTATAATAGATATTCTGGTCACCCTCATAATAGGCATTCAGTATTTGAATGGAGGCTGTGTAGCATGAGATGAGCCTGGGTTATTTAGTGAGGACAAGCACAGTCTGGTTTGAAGAATTTTAGGGGTCTCCATGGACTTCACAATGACAATCTGTGATGAGGGAATAATCAACGTGACATTCAAAATCAGGGCAAAAAGAGCAAATATTGATAAAGTTTACATACCTTCTCTATGGTGCATAAACTCCTCCCAGCTCCGTATGTTCCCTCCTGCCAACCATTTCCAAAACAACCCACGTTCCATGATCAGTGGCAACAGTATTATCAGAAGAGGTGAGAAAAGCAAAACAACTATAGACTTTTCCCTGTAATTTAGAGATGCTTGTCCTTAAGAGTTTTTTCAGGAATCTTCTCTTATTCCTATGACATTTGTCATCCTATGATATACAGCACCTGCCCATGATTCCAAGTGGAATGGGGCTCCCAAAGATATCTGTCACTTAGATACGCGAATCTCCTCCCAGCATCCGTCATCATCAACTGATCAGAGAAACGGCGGCATCACATACGCCGAAAAGAAGACGGCAGAAATCCCAAAGCAAAGAGGATGGAAGTTCTCCCAGAGGCTCCAGGCCACTGTTAGCAAATGCAGGGACTGAGGTAGGACTCTGCAGAGCCTGGAGGAGGGGAGGTCCAGGCCTGCTGACTACAGCCCTCCACTGGTTAAATGTTTCCCACTTTTCAGAACTCCCCAACTCTGGGGGCAAGGGTGGGAACACAAGCACCTTCAGTGAGACCCCAGGAGTCAAAGGCCCTACCACTGATTTTTGCAAGGCCCTACTGCTGATTTTTGCAAGGCCCTACTGCTATACTTGGTGTCTCTCAAATCCTGGCAGTGGTTATTCCCATCATATTTCCTTTTCCAGGGAGTGTGAGGCTCTGAGAATCTTTCCTGACCCCCTTCCCAAGCATCTGTTGTGTGGTCTGGTCCTGCGCTAGGGGGAAAGGAGCCCTCTACAAGTTCTCAGACCTATGCGGGCAGGAGCCCTTCCACCCTGCCATCAATCTCTGTGGAAAGAGATAGGGTGTGGTTGGTGCTCCAACAGAAATACCAAAAAAATAACAATAATAGGTTGGGAACTCATAGGAGGGAGCAATGGATTCTTCTTAGGTGAAGACCCAGACAAGGGAAGATGCAGGGTGTTTTCTGGGGCCAATGACTGCTGCAATGTGGATAAGACAAAAGGCACAATGGCGTAGTCCAATGAGGCAGGCAGGCACCAGATAGGGGCCTTGAATGGCAGACCAAGAAGCATAGACTTTATCCCAAGGGCGGTGAGGAGTTTGAGCATATCCTTCAGACTACAGTGTGAAGATGCTTCAGAAAAGAGCAGGGCCGGGGGGCGCAGGCCCAGAGGAGGCTTTGGCAGGAATCCAGGCTAGGGGATGAGGCCTGAGCTAGGGCTGAACACAGGAATGGAGAAGGGGAGGCGGATTTGAAGGACACTGCAGAGGTAAAATAAACAATATGTGGCAACCTATGGTCCATTTTCCCAACCCAGAAATCCAGTGTGGCCATAAATGTGAATTTGCCTCCCTCTCAACCTCACTCCTCCCCAGCACTCACAGAGAATCCCCTGGGAAACGGAAAGGAAACAGGACGTTCTTTTCCAGTGAGTCACCAGGCCCCTGACTTTCAGGACTGTTCTCCCTCCCCACAGCCTCGGCCCCTTCCCCTCCACCTCCCACCCCAGCTCACAGGCGCAGGCTGAAGGCCTCAGAACAAGACTTCCTTCCTTGCTGTGGGATCCCACCAGCCATTCGCGGAGAATTTGTTAGGATGTCTCTGGGCTTTGGCAAGAAGCAGTCTATTATCAATCCCATTTTAAGGAAGGAAACTGAGACCCAGAGGAGGCAAGTACTCTGCAAGGTCACCCAGCAAGTTACACAGGGAGCTATCCACAACACCACATCCTCCAGTTTAAAGAACTCCTCCCCCTCCCTACCATCCCCACCACCTCACACTGGCACCAGCAGCCAGCTGGCTAGAGACCTAAGGCCTGGAGAAGAAACCCTGACCCAGTTACCAAGGAAACGCTGAATTCAAGGCTGCCCATGGAGCAGGGCAGTTCCCAGAGCTCAGGCGGCATGTAGATGGGCTGGAAAGAGCAGGGGGGTAGAGCCATGGGCGGCCAGCCTGGGTGGCCTCCACCCTCCTCTCTCCGATCCCCTGGACAGCCCAGAAGGCCAGAACCCCGCTGGGGTGCAGAGAGCCAGCCCTGTGCAAGGCTGCGGGTGAACCCTGAGTCCGCTCAGAACTCAGGCCTTGTGCCTGCTCACCAGTCTTCTTGGGGCCCTGTCCTCAGAGCCCTGCAAAGCCCACCCGGTTCTCCACACTCGGCAGCCAGCCCCCAGGCCCTCCCTTCCCATCAGAGAGGGAGGCCCGGGGTAGAGCAGACACAGGCCTGGTGGCTCCTGAGCTCCTGCCCACTTGTATTGCAATCAAGAGCCTCCTCGCAAAAGCTTCTTTGTGGTTTTTATTTTCTTGTATTAAGGCTCCAATGAATTGGCTGTATACTGCCTTCTCCAAACCAAAAAGACATTCCCAGGGCCGCTCCCAGCTACCCCTACTGGCCAGAGGCCTGAAGCTGCCTGATGAGGAAGTCCAAAGATGAGCATTTTGCAGACAGCACTTTCAGTCCACGCATGTCACACACACAGGCGCGTTGAACGGGTTCTCCATGGCCCCCTTGTTACTTCTGGTGCCCACTAGGAGTTGTAGTCACAGTGGGTGTCCATCCCCAAAGGACCGCTCCTCCTCCCCCACCCCCGTAATCCCCCAGTGTCCAAAACACTACCCCAGGTTCCTGAGTCCTCTGCCTCCATAGTACACTGGGGCACAGTATAAGAAGGAAGCCTGAGCAGGACTCAGCTCACAGTAGCCGGCATTCACCACAGACAGATGTTCTTCTAAACTGAAAGGTCCATGTCTACTTGTTCTGGTGACAGCAGGGCAGGCGGCAATGGCTACCCACAGGCATCAGCGGCAGCCTCGATGAGGGTGGTGGTGGTGGTGGTGAGGGTGGTGGTGGTGGTGGTGGTGGTGGTGGTGGTGGAGGCCAGCATGGGGCATGTGAAACACATGGCCTGGATGATGGAGATGGTGAAGGCGTCCCATGTGGCCCCGGCCCCGGCCCCGGCCCCGGCCCCGGAAGAGCCAGGGCCCAGCCCACAGGACTCGGTTCCCCCTTGCAGCTGGACGGTTCCTCTCCACGTCGTGGTCCTGCTGACCATTGTACAGGCAGGTGGCCAGCAGCCGCAGCAATAGCAGAATGGCCACAGCAGTGCCTGCAATCAAGCCCACGAGTGTTGTGCTCCCCAGGAGGCCTAACATCTGGGTGCTGGACATTCTGTCTCCACTTGTTGGCTCCTTGCTGCTTCCTCCCCTTCAGCAGCCTCCCTGCTCAGTTCAGTTCAGTCACTGAGCGTTGTTGTCTCAGCTCCTGCAGGCTGGACAGCAGCCAGGGAATGTGGGCGCAGCCTGTTTGGGCTGGAGCTGCTGGCCAAGGACTAGGCCAGGCGGCCGTTAACTCTGGGGAGGCCGGCAGGGAGGCGGGCAGAGGCCAAGGCACTGTCAGGCTGGGCGTTTTTGAGAGAAGAGCCCTGAGTCTGAAGATAAAGGGTCTGGGCCCCGCCAGCCCTGCTGCCTAGCTGAGGATCAGCCTCTCTGGGAGACGGTTCCCTCCTCTTTTAGAGAAAGGATAGCACAGTGATTAAGAACATGCATCCTGGAACCACACAATCACCAGCGCTGTGACTGTGTACAGGTTACTTAATTCTGTGCCTCAATTTCTTCATCTGTAAAGTGGCTAATCATAGTACTCACCTCACAGGGTTTCAAAAGGATTAAGCAAGTTAATGTACATAAAGCACTGAAACCACTTTCTGGTCAATATTTGCCATTGTTAATTTCCAATGGAGTTTGGGCTAGATGACCGGGGGAACCTTGTCATCTGAGAGTCTGTGGTTCTGTATCCCGCAGCCCACAAAGTCCACCAGGACTAAAAGTCAGGTTCTGACAAGTGAATTGCCCTGTACTTCAGGAGCTCAGCAAGGCACCACAGGCAGATTTCCTTTATCCGGGGAGGCTGAACAACGGTCTCTAAGTCCTCCATCCTGCAGGAACTGGAAGGCGAGCTGGGCTGGGAGTCAGCCCTCAGTGTGGAGGGAGGCAGCTAGGAGGCCTGTGAGTTGAGGCTGCTTAGCTCAGAGGCCAGGCCTCAGTCCCAGCCTCCTGGTTCCCAGTTCAACAGTCTCAACTAGTCATGAACAGCAGCTCCTTGGTCCTTCTCCTGTCCTGGTACAGCAGCTGTGACATGCCATTCCTGCCTGGTGGAGAAATTCCAGAAAACCAGAGTCAGCAGGGCCTGACCAGTGGCTGACTCTCCTTCCTCCTCCTGGTCCTGAGTGTCCTCAGGTCACCATAGACAAGTGCCTGCCCAGTCCTGCTCACATTCTCAGGGATGGACACTCATTATTCCCCCTGGGCAGCTCTTTTCTGCTGGGGACTGGTTTAGCTGTTCCCGGAGTTCTTCCTCACATGTGGTGGAGCCTCCCCAAAACCCCAGCTCAGCCCCTGGGTCCCAGAAACCATGGATTCCCAGGTCCCTCCAGGCTGAGTCCCTAGCTCCTCCCTCCAGGCTCCTTCCTGGGTGTGTGGTCACATCTGTGCTACCTGCAGAAATGTTTACTGAGCGAAGATGATAGGCTCTCTGAGCTCCAGCACCAATCGCACTGCATCACCTTGGGCAAACCCCTTCCCCTGGCCAAGCCTGTTTCCTCCTCTATACAAGTCTCAGCACAAGAGGGGACCTCCAAGAACCTTTCCCTCTCTGACAGTGTAGGGCCCCCATGACCTCAATCTGAGACCAAGTTCTCTCAGTGAAGCTCAAACCCTTAGAGAAAAACTTCTCTGGATGAAAGACTAAACATTTCCTTCAACCAAATTGGGCTCAGGGGCCAGAAAGTCTAATGAATCTTGGGGCATTTCTATGCCCTCAGGGAAAGCCACTTGAACTTTTAATGATGCTGGAGTGAGACCTCCCTCTTGTAGACTTGGGCCCCCAGGAGCCCCGCTACCTTCCCTAGGGGGCTGTTAAGGAGGGAAGTCTGCTGTAATGAGGAGCCTAAAGGCCAACAGGGAACTTTGTCATTCTTGGGAACTTCTCTGAGCAGGCTCCCACTCCAAAGTGGACGCTGAAGTGTGGACAGGGCTCTGCAACCTGCAGATTCACACACCTTCAGTCAGCACAAAGAGCCTCTTGGAATCATTCAGATGGACTCCTCAATGAAAGATGGGGAAACTGAGGCCAGAGAAGGCAAAGGACATGCCTAAGGTCCCCAGTTTGGTGGGCTGTTCTCTACAGCAGGTAAGCAATCAACTGAGCACTATGTGTAGGGTGAGAGGAGTAACTAGAGCAAGAGGCTGAGAGCAACTGGGGGATCTTCCACTAAGATAAGAAGGAAGAGAATGTGTAGGTATGAAGAGCTCCCCCAGCCGCCCCCCACCCCATGCAAGGCATCTATATTTCTTGCGTGTAAATAGAAGTGTACTAGGATTCTATAGGGTGGCTATAAGTCAGAACTGACTCCTGGCAACGGGTTTTTTGTTTTGTTTTGTTTTGTTTCCCTGTTAGGATTCTTTCTTAGCATGATTAAAAAGAAAAAAATCTCAAACCAGTAGCTTATTATCATGGTAAAAAAAACATAGTGTCTCCCCATCTGGGCAGAGGCAAGAAGATTGGATCCCAAGGTGGATATCTTATCAGACACTTTGGGCACTCAGAGGGAAGGTGTAGAGACCACAGTCTCTGGGGCTTCAGAAGTGACTGAGACCCTCTTGGAAGCTTGCGCTGGACACAGGGCTTGCAGGACTGATGGTTTTAGAGGAATGTGTGGCCATGTCTCAAGGTCCCCTGCCTTTGAAAAGATGTCCTGTGAAGGCATTGTTGTATTTCTTCTCCCAGGATTGGGTCTTCTGCACACTCCACAAGCAACCTTCCCAGATGAGGTACAGGAATTACAGACCAGACTGTTGCTGGGTAAATCTTTTGAAGTTTGTACCATTTATCGTCATACCTATGCTTTCCAGGCTGCACTGACTCATGCACGTACTTGCACGCATGTGTACGCTTGTAAACTAACATTGATCTTTAGGAAGATTCATACACCAATAGCTGTGTGCAAACACATATATGCACAAGTACATACAAGCTCCACACAGGCTCACAAGCGTGTGCTTATGCTAGCTGTGGTGGTTCTTCGTTGGTTGTCCAGTAATAAACAAACAAAAAAAAACCAAACCTGTTGCCGTCGGGTCGATTCCGACTCATAGCGACCCTACAGGACAGAGAAGAACTGCCCTATGGGGTTTCCAAAGAGCAGCTGGTGGATTCAAACTGCCATCCTTTGGGTCAGCAGCCATAGCACTTAATCACTGCACCATCAGGGCTCCTGTCCGGCAATAGCAACCACATTATTTTCATTCATTAGTATCACCATCTAGTGGTGACCCTGTAAATAAGTCAGTTTCATATTCTGACCCACTCCCCAAAACACCTGTCAAAGGTTATACTATTCTGATTTTTATTTACAGCTCACAATCTGAACCCACGCATTTAACTCCTTTCCCTTCCAAATTCCCACTGAAATAACCAAAAAATTAGAAGTAGGAAAGTACTCTTCCACACTGGAAATCAGTAAAGAACAACATTACTGGCCCCAAAACCTTAAGGAATGTCTACAAGATATAGTGCAGATGGAACCAGGCTGATGGATGTATTGACTAAGGAAGGGCATTCCTGGGACGTCATAGATAATATGTCTCAGCAGAGCCTCGATAACACCCTATGTTAGATAGCCAGGGCTAGGAAAAAAGGTGAGGTGGGCACAGGCAGAAAACAAACACAGTGACTTTGGGAACTATACTAGTGTCTGCTCACAGAGCAGTTGGCCAAAGCTCAGCCCATCTTTTATTGTGGTGCTTTAACTGAAAGTTTACAATTCAAGTTAGTCTCTCATACAAAAATTTATACATACATTGTTATGCAACCCTATACTGTAACAGCACACCCCTCCTTTCCACCCCAGATTTCCCATGTCCATTCAACCAGCTCCTGACCCTCTCTACCTTCTCATCTCACCTCTGGACAGAAGCTGCCCTTTAGTCTCATGGATTTACTTGAGCTAAGAAGCACACTCTTCACGAATATCATTTTAGTCCCATAGTCCAGTCTAATCTTTGTCTGAAGAGTTGGCCTCAGGAATGGTTTTAGTTTTGCTCAGCCCATCTTTTAGTTGGCACTGAAGAGCAGGGAAATTGGCCAGCAGGTTCGTAACACGGGTGCTCACGGCAGTTAGAGAAGGGAGACACTCCTCCAGCTGACCTGGGGCTGCCTCTGCAAATACTGAAAAAAAGTCACCCAGCAAAGCAGGAGATCTCTCTCTTCTTCCCAGAAGCTCTCCCTGCCCTACTCATGGCCAACCGGACCTCCCAATCAAGAAAACTAAACCATGAACAGTCTTTCTTTCTCCATTGCCTGGGATCAGCATACTTGAAAATAATCCACATAATCTGTTATAGAACCCATTTCAAATCACAACGCCAAACAAACATAGATCTATGTCCCTCTGTGAAGACGAGCAAATAAAGAAAAATTACTAGACAGATAAAAAAATACAAGGCATTAGTAAGATTACCACAATCTAAGAAACAGAGAACTATTAAAATTCCCTAATTTATACTCTAAATAAGATTCAAAAGGTCAATCAGTATATGAATATGAGAAATACAACACAGGAAATTTTACTTGCAGAATAAAAAATACTAATAATTACTTAATTTTAAAATTCAATGACAGCAAGAAGCAATAGATTAGAAATTACAGAAAACTAAATCAGGAAAGACTGCTTTGAGAACCTTTCCTATAACTCGAAAGAAAAAGAATAAAGAGACAGAAAGAGAATAGATTCAGGAGATGGACTATTCTTGTACCTAGAGAACCCTGTCTAAAACAAATAAACATTCCAGAAGTACAGAACCGCACACATGGGGAAACAATCATTAAAGAAATAAAGAAAATGTACTGACCTGAAGTCGTTAGATCAAAGGTGAACTGGGTACTGTTGTTAGCTGCCGTCAAGTTGATTCCGACTCATGGAGGCCCCATGTGTACAGAGTAGAATTGCACTCAGTATAGTATAATGTTTGACAGGTGTTTTGGGGAGTGGGTCAGAATAATAAACTGATTTATTTACAGGGTCACCACTAGATGGTGCTACTAATGAATGAAAATAATGTGGTTGCTATTGCTGGACAGGAGCCCTGATGGCGCA